TCCTGAGCTCAAGGAATCCTCCTGCCTCACCCTGCAGAGTGCTGAGACTATAAGGAACAGAATTTGCTTAGCAAACCAGCTTCTCAATTATATGAGATGTCATATGGAGTTGTGCCTATACAAGGATTTTTCATTTTCTTCAACTCATCTCTTCATTCAAGAATCACTGATACACTGTTCTAATTATTAAAATTTTATTGTATGTCTTAATATTTGGTAACACTACTCCTCCTGTACCCCGCTAACCCAAATACTGTACCTTTCTATTTCAAAGGTTTCTTTGCCATTCTTCTTTGCTTACTTTTTCACATACATTTTACAAATAGCCTGTTTAGAAAAGTCTGCCAGTGAGGATTAGAATTTTAAAAACTTTACCCTATAAAACATTCTAAATTTATTTTAAAAATAAGAGCATACAGTAATTAATTCTTATGTACCTATCTACCTTCAACAACTATCATTTTTGGATTCTGTTACATTTTAAATCACTTTTGGGAGAAACACCATCTTCACAGCATTTATTCTTGGTTTTTTTTGTTGTTTTTTTGGTACTGGAGATTGAACTTGGGACCTTGTGCTTGTGCAGCAGGTGCCGGAACCACTGAGCTAAATCTCCGGCCCAATGGCATTTATTCTTTCTACCCCAGAACATGGTGCTTCTTTCCATTTATTTAAATCTTTAAGATCATTCAGTAGTGAATTGTGTGCACATTAAGTCTTGTTTAGTGTTAAATATATAGCTTGTATTACTCTAAAAACATTTCAGATATCTATGAGGTAGAAATATGATTTTGGTCTTCAGATCTAAGCCCTATTATACAATATTTTCACTCCAATTTCTCTTTGGTTGCTGTTTTCATTTTGTTTGGATCTGTCTAAATATCCATCCAAATTAAAGTGTTGCAATTAAAAAAAATGGTTCTATAAATGAACATAATTGAGTATTCTTTTACGATATAAAACTATTTTCCCTTTTTTGTCTGTGTCATCTTTGACTGTCATTACTCATAGTAGGAGAAAGTAAACAGTGTTGAAAATAAAGAACTAAGGAAGTTAGGTAAAGCTGTAATTACAAAGTAAGATATTAAAATGAAAATATGGAACTTCATATCTATCTATAGAAATAATACAGGGAGGGCTGGGGATTTAGCTCAGTGTTGCCACCCCTGCCTGGCAAGCGCAAGGTCCTGAGTTCGATCCCCGGTACCAAAAAAATAATAATAATAATACAGGGAAAAGGGTTGGAAGATGTAACTCAGTGTAGTGTGCTTGCCTAGCACGCACAAGGCCTTAGGTTTGATCCCCTAGCTCTAGCAAGAAATAATTAAAAACACACAAGGAAAAAGTGAAAGGCCATGTGATAAACTGCTTTTGAAAAAAGAAATTAAGTATAAATATAGAAGAGTAGTCATGAACAAAAAATATTTACCATATGAATAAATGTAAAGGGTTAAACTCACCTAATAAAAGAAAAAGAACACTAAAGTTGGAACAATACACAGGAGATTAACATGGCATGCTAGGCAAGCACCCTACCACTGGCCTACATCCACATTCATTCTTATACAGAAGTCTTTATTTTTAGTCTAGTAGTTTATAATTACAACTTCATATAACATGTTTAGTTCTCTATTTTCAGCACTATATACTATCTCCTACCATGAGTAAAGATAAAATATATTTCCTGTTCTCTCCTTTCCCTTCTCTCTTTTTAACTTGCACTTACTACCTTTAAAAAAGACAGCTGTATTGAAAATAACAACCAATACAGAGGTGGGCATAGAGTTAGCAGTTTTAACATGTTTTTAAAAAAAAGTTAGGAATCAAATCATACCATAATTCATTTGACTGGAATAAAGTGGGAATTGCCACTTCAGTTTTCATTACTTTTTTTGTACATGCGTGAAAACTCACCCTTTTTAATTTTGTTTAATGAACCCCACAGTCAAGATCCAGACAGGACCTATCACCACCTCATTTATCAATTTTTGTTTTCTTTCTTCGTGATGTTGGGGAGTGAACCCAGGGCCTTCCACATGCTAGGCAAGTCCTCTACTGCTGAGCTACACCCCAGCCCTTACTCCATTTAATAAATAGTAGCATCATTTTAATGTTAGTTTTGTACTGTTAAAGGTACTTGTAATTCCACGACTTGATCTGTCAACTTTAAATGATATTCCATAAACACCTATTACTAAGTTACAAACACTTCTGCATCCCCTTTCCAAATTTTGTGAGATGTCGTATCTGATAGTTATGGTATAAAACACTTAAATTCCATATCGCCATTCTAAAATATACATTTGTTTTTACCTTAACTCTAGTTGAGGTAAAATTCCATTGGTCACAATTCCAGACATGTTCCTACTTTTCCTCCTCACCTCTTGGTTGGTTGAATGTTAAACACTACAATTCCTGACATACACTCAATGCTTAGTAAATTCTAGCTAGAAAAAGTAGAAAGTCTTTAGTAAATCTGCTTTCACGAAATTACGTTTGTTAGTGGTAATAGTGGTAATTGAGTACCTCCTCTAAAGTGCCATGGAACTGCTTGGTGACAATAGAGATAAATATACTTTATCATGTTAAGTTAGTATTCTCATTTTTTTCCCCCAAAATCAATGTAAGTTATATTTTACAGATACCCAAGTTACTAGATGACTATGTTTTATAAAACTTTTATTCTATTTCCTCTCTGTTTCTGGAGACACACACACACACACACACACACACACACACACACACACACCCCTCAAAAACAGAGAGACAGATAGACACAAATGAACCCAAATTCATGCAGAAATAAATCACAGACATCAGCATGCTGCACATGACTGTAATCCCAGCACTCTGGGGGGCCGAGGATGGAGGATTCCAAGTTTTGAGTCCAGCCTCATCAACTATTTACTAAGACTCTGTCTCATAATAAACACGGTGGGGAATGCAGCACAGTGCAAAGGCCCTGGATTCAATTCCCAGTACAAAAAAAAAAAGTCCCATAATATATATAAGGCCCTTCCCTCATAACGCAATCATTTTCTAAAAGCTTTACATTAGTAATTGCTTAGTAAATCTTTCTTTCAGAAAAACATGACAAGAATGAGCACCTAAATCAGGCATAGTCACATACACAAATAGGCTAAACCGTTTCATGCTATTCATCACTCACATTTCCTCTTGATTCTATTAACAAATAACATTCAATAGTACTGGTCGGAGCAGTGAAACGCTGACTTCTCAATACACCTCCAGATTACCTTAGCACTAACACTAGCTACATAAAAGTATGAAGCAAAGGAGCCTTAGAAGCCTCCCTTTTTCTTTCTGATAATGAGAAATAGTCCAGCCATGGTTCACGCTGCTGTAGGTTCTTAATGAATTTCACCGAATTCAATTTAAATGTAATAAGTTGCTGGCGGTTTGCCAGTAAGATCAATGAATACCATTCAGGAAGGTAGGGAAACAGCTGAATCTTTCTTTAGAACTTCACAGCAAGAGTCAGATTTTTAAGAATGTACTTTAGTAGAGAAATAACAAAATTAAGTGAAAACAACATGAATACTGGAGTTAGGCAGATCTGAGTTTAAAAAAAATGAAGGTTTGGCCACTTAACACATGTCATTTAGGACACTTTTATGAAACTATTACTATGATTCCAAAGGGCTGTGGTTGAGGATTATATCTAATAACAAACAAAGGTAGAGGATATTATTTGACAGCTAGTAGACAACAAATGATGTTCTTATTTTAAAAAATGAATCTCTATAATTACAGAAATACACAGCCAACTGTAGCAGGGTAATACACATTTAAAATTTCTAGCCAGGATCATGGCAGCGATCAGGAACATATCTTGAAATGGTTGTAGAAAATATACTAAGGAAATGGGCACAATTTGAAAAAGAAATGCAAACCCATTTAAATGGTACTATAAAAACAACTCTATTGTTCTGGAGAATTCTTCTCTGTTCTTTATGTTTTGGGCCTTACTGATTTTTCACTGTACCATAACTGCCAAAGGAATCCCACCGAATATTAATGAGCAGGAGGCACAACCATGGTCAAGGACTTGGTCATTACTTGAACCTCACTCTTCCTTTCCATCTACTTCCAGGTAACATTCACCACCTGTCCTCCGACCATGGAAACCCCTTGTTGATCCCGGAACTCAGAAAAGGAAGGAGGGGGGAGGGGTGAGTGAAGGGGACAGGTGGGATTCAACTTAGTCCTAAGGATTCAGCTCAGCCAACACCACGCTGCTCATCTTGCTCCAGGAGCTTCGGAGTTTGCTGAAGTGACGAAGGGGAACAAAACATAACCCTTGCGCCTGAGATATTTGTTCAACAGAAGGCCTGCAAAACATACTCTCCTCAGGGCTGAGGATTTAGCACAGTGGCACCGTGCCTGCAAACATACTCTCCTCTGAGCATGCAGAGTTAATATGATAAAATGTTTTCTACAGACATGAAAAAAATCTTCCACATTTATTGGTATCTATTTATGTACTTGTGGGGTACAAGGTGCTTTAAAAACTTTCTGGAAAACAAGAAGTCATTGTTTAAATGTTACCATTAAATGAGAAGCCAGCTTTATACATTTAGTGAAATCATGAACATTTGCCATCAAAGTGAATAATCTCCAATGATTATGCTCTCCATGAAACATGCTATTAGAAAAAAAGTAAATGACACGAGAATTAAAAATGAAAAGTCATTTCTTTAACTTCTGATTTGAATATTAAAAACCTTCCAAAATGTAGTTTAAAAAAACCCTTCTCATAATAAGTATTCTTGAAAATACCATTAATTTGCAGTTCTGCATACCTTATGTAATGTTCTACTTTCAACAATAAACAGATGTCTTAACATTTCATCTGATAGAAACATCTTTTATCGCTACTAGGAAGTTTCTCAGTCATGCATAGTTTATTTGAAATTCAAAGGTTCATTTGGTTCTACCAGATTATAATTAGATTATTAACAGTAAAATTTTATACTTACCTGATCCTCCTTTTGCCAAGTACTTGTTCTTTGCATAAAGGACAGAATCTAACATAGATTCAAAAAGAAGAAAATATCCCTGCATAAGAAAGAAAAAATGAACTTTAGAAATGGGTGTTTCTAAATATCTAGATTCTTTTAATAATATACATCAATATACCAATTATATATTCTATGCCTCTGCCATATAATATTTTACAATGTCTGAAATTTTTTGTACTAAGTTCACCACTTAATAATCACTAGAAAATGGGGACAGGATATAAAGTGGACCTAAAAATTTATTTGGCAGATTATACTGAATCTTCTCAACTTGTGTTCCACTTTCCCGACCACTGTTTCTTCTTTAATAAAAGGGAAATGTCAGACAGAAAAATGTCAATAAACCTGTAACTCCCTGGAATGTTGTAATATTAATCTAGAGCAGCAGTTCACAAGTAGATTTTGCCCCTAGGGGGACATTTGGCAATGTCTAGAGACGGGTCTGTTACAAGTGAGGATGGGAATTGGGTAATGCTACCAGCAGGCCTGGGAAGAGTCAGGACCACTGCTGAACACTGGCCAGGCGACCACACAAAGAGCGATCTGCCCAAAATGGCAATGACTAACTAAGGCTGAGAATCCCTAGGCTAGAGGGTCATTTCCCAAAGTGTTTCCTGCCCAGTGACTTTTTCTCTAATATACTTACTCAAAGAGGTTTGAGAAACACTAGATATATTTTATATCAAAATCAATATATTATCCTCTCTTAGAGATTCACACATTAACACACTAAAAGTTCTGAAGAGCGCTAACAGAAGGCTAACAGTGGTTAACAGAAAGCCACCCTCCCTTCCTTTCCTGGTACCAAGGACTGAACTCAGAGCCTCTGCAAGGAGCTACACATCCCGCCCCTTTTAAATTCTAAGACAAGATCTTGCCAAGTTGCCCAGGGTGAGTTTGAACTTGGGATCCTCCTGCCTCAACTTCCCAGAATACTAGGATTACAAGCATGTAACCACCGCACTTGGCTTGTTGAATGTATATCAGCCAAATATTATTCACTGATTAACTTTTAAAAAAAATTTAACATATATCAACACTTTGGTACACTAGTGTTGCTTGAAATACAGTTCAGAAAATATGATCCCAGTAAACACTAGATTTTTGAGTAATGAATTCTCTTTCATGAAAAGATAATAATCAGTACAAATGAAAAGAAAGCCTGCTATATGTATCACAGATACACTAATCTGTGACTAGCACTATGTTCCAATAGTATGCTATCCGTTTCCAAGAGATGTGACAAATCATGATTGAGACATGATGCCAGTTCTGGTTAGTTGCCCTCCTTGTGGGGCCTACACTGAGGCCACCCACAGTAGGCAGGAAGTAGAGTGCTCAGCATGGTGCTCAGCGTGCAGCACACTGCATTACCTCTTCAGGTAATATGAGCTGCTCTCTTTTCTTGCTATTCTAATCCAAAGCTGTCCTCATCCACTCATTTGTTCTGTGCCTAAGTCATTGTCTGATGAGATAAATACCTTACAATATTCTTAAACCGCATAAATAAAGTTACTTTAAAGATTTCTCCAGAACAAGAAAAATCTGCAATTTCAGAATGGATCATCTTTACAAAAGATTAACAGCAAACTGAAATTTATAGAAAATGTAGCTGATAAGCTTGAATCATTTATAATGGAACCTAATTAAATTGCTGCTATCAACTGCACCTTGGTAACATCTACCTACCCTTACTCCACACCAATTCTCTGGGGAAAAATAACTGCCTCCAAAGACAGACTGAGCAACAAAGCTTACGTACTGATATGTTTATAAGGAAATTTTTCTGGATAAATAGTAATACGCTAAACTCTTAAAAGGTAGCTCCCAAAGTGATCTGGGTACTCACAGAACTTGTAGAATTTGTGGAATTCACCTAAGAAATTTTTCTCAGTTTGATTTATGAACACAAATGCTTGTCAACAGGTATTTATCTACTGATTAAAGTGAATCATAATCTATGCCAAGGAATTACTAAAAGGGGGCATGCATCTATTGACCCATTTGGTAAAACATATCAATAGAGTAAAAAAGATGGTTATCTGCATGACTGTTGAATTTTTAGACATTAGACGAAAATTAGAAAATAAAATTTACACTTTAGTACCAAGTATTACATACCGGCCAACCTTTATTGGATGAGGGAAAAACAGTTGATTATTGTTTTAGTACTGTGTCAAGCTATTTTCTATGGTAGCATTACTCTTTCACATAATTAGTTAAGTCTAAGCATTTTCCTTCCATATGCTAAAATTCCATCTTCTCGATATTACAAACAATCTCAAAATCCTTCTTGAATCAGTAACTGAAAACTAGCTCCTCTGCCAACACCTCCCAATTATTGTGTTAACATAGTTTTTATAGCCATTCATCACAGAATTATACCATATTTTAAAGTGACACTATGGTTAATAGCATATACTTATAGTAGATAAGAGGACAGACCTCTAGATTTAAGGGCCAGATAAGTCCCTTAGTTTATGTGACCTTGGGCAAGTTAATATTATTGTGCCTTAGTTTTCAAATCAGTAGAATGACAATAACAATGGTATTCTACTTCACAGGGTGCTGTGAGAGTAGATATGTTAATATGAGCAGAATGATTTGGAGCAATAAATCTTAGCTGAATAAATTAACAGCAAAAGATGTATTTCTAACGAGCTAATCAAGAATTTAAAAATTTGGCTGGATATACTGCAGAGTTAAGACTTACCAGGGCCTGGGGATTTAGCTCAGTGGCTCTCCTGCCTGCCTGGCAAGTTCAAGATCCTGAGTTCGATCCCCAGTACCAAAAAAAAAAAAAGGAAAGCAACTTTTGGGCTGGGGATTTAGCTCAGTGGTTCCTCCACTTGCCTGGCAAACACAAGATCCTAAGTTCGATCCCCAGCACCAAAAAAAAAAAAGTAAGAGTTAAGACTTACCAGACTCTGGCTGGGGATTTCGCTCAGTGGTTCAGCCGCCTGCCTCGCAAGCGGAAGAACCCGAGTTCGATCCCCGGTACAAAAAAAAAAAAAAAAAAAGACTTACCATACCAGACTGCCCAAAATCATGTAACATTTATTTTAGTTACAACCCGTGAGTCAGGACTGAAATTCCTGTTTGTTCTTTTTCAAGAGCCTATCACAATAAATCTTCTTGGTTTACTTTCCAGACCAACCAAGACTGTGTGTGCATAGGTGCAGACAAGAAAATATAAAATCACTCAAAACTTCTCTACAAACAAGAAATATAATTTAAAACCCAATTAGTGCCAATTCTAAGAAGATATTTCCCACAGAAGGTATCATAACAATGTCCACGAACAAAAACCTCTATTTTCCTTACTATCCTCAGCCCTGGATTTTTTTATTTAAGACTTCCTCATACATCTGCTTCCATTTGAATTACTAAACACCAATAAGGATCTTTCCACATACCCGACAACAATTACTTTTATCTAAGATTAGAATTCTGATCACACAATATTTCTATAGTTCTAATTGACATAATTTTTCTAAGGTTCTAAATAGGAAAGAAACCAGTCTTAGAGAAGTTGATTTATTTAAGGTCCTACAGCTGGATAAATAAACTGGAAAAATTTTATCTCCTCTTACAAAAGACTGTCTTGAGTGTTCTGACTTAAACAATGACCAAGAACCAATTCCACTAGTACAAAAGCCAAGAGTGTGAGAGAGAGAACAAACCAGAGATGACAGTAAGCGTCCTGGGCTACAAACACAACCTCCCACAAATGCCATGTGAACAGAAGAAGGCTTAAGCAAGTCTTCTTTTGCCTTTTCCCACTTTCCATCTCCTTTTTCTCTCTGCATTGGGGTAGCATTAAAAATAATACTCTCTTCACTATTTCTATTTCATCTGAATAGCAAGATCTTGTATGGCCGAGTATACGAAGAGGTTTCAACAGTACTCTTAAGTTTCTAAACCTTAAGTTAAAGAGAAACAGAGCCAGCAAATCAATGGAAAAGCATTCCTTTGAAACCCGAATAAGATGCCGTATTTCTTCATATTAGGAGACATGCTACAGTATTTAAAACAAAGTGATGGTAGACAATTTTAGTGGTCACTTGTTTCAACTGGAATTCAGATTTCTGTTTACACATTCACAATGGGGCTGTAATTTGTATGTCTTCCTGCCAGGTGGCTGGAACCACTGGAGATACACGTATGACTGTCCTATCAGGCAGCTTTTTATTAGTAAAAGGACAACAAAAGTGATTAGATCCATTTGTACAAGCTGCCCAATAAGAGTCACGCATATACCACCAGTGGTCCAAGCAGCAGAAATGTATTGTCACCCGATCAAAAAGGACTTCTCTGATGTTCTTATGTAAAATACAGTATCCTTGTCTTTCTTTATTTTTTTATTTTTTATTTTTTTGGGGGGGGTGTCTATTTCATCATAGCACTTCAAAATTAACTAAAATAGAAGCTCTAAAAGTACAAAGACTTGGCCATACTTTTTGAAGCTATATTCTTGAGAGTTGGAAATGTACCGGGCACATAGATGAAATTTTTGAAAGACTAAATGAATAAGAGATAATAATGTATATGGGTATAATTATATTTGTTAAAATTAAACAGTGGTTTGTTTGGAAACTTTTTCTGGCACAAATTAAGATTACTTTTAATATCTTGATTTCTAAATCTAAAACTGTCAAATAACAATAAGTGTTAATAATTATTAAAATTTGTTATAGTGATTTTTAAGTACAATATCACTTAATTCTTCCCCAAAGAACATTTTGTTATTTCCATTTAACCAATGAGGAAACTAAGGCTTAGAAATAAATTAAGGACTGATAAATAGCTCGCAGTCACACAAACAGCAAGTTAATGAAGCAGAATTTGAACCATGTTCTAACCACAAAGGTCAAGTTCTGAATCACTAGTCTATGTTGCTTTGTAGGTCTATTTACCTGTCATAAGATTTAATATTTCTATTAGAGATTTGTAATTCAGGACTGAAGTGCTTCAAAGTGAAGAGTTCCCCAAAGGACACACTAAACTGGGTTAGAATTTGTACAGTATGTGACTCCG